ATAGTTTTGTAGGAAGTTTCTAGGAGGAGTTTTGTTGCTCCCTCCAACCAAGGATTCATTATATTTAATAGGTATAGGATACTTTGTATTTTATGTTTCTTCTTGGAGAAGGGTTGGTTGATTTTGAGTTGGTTTTGTTAAGTCTTATTTTTCTCGGAATTTTTCCATCTCTGTTTTCAAATTGGTTGGCATGTTCTTTAAAATATCCGCTTATGTTTGTGTTAATATTTGCAGTATTTACTTGATGTTCTCTTTGCCAATTCTGATGCTGATTATTTGTGCTTTTCCCCTTTCTTAATCAGCTTGGCCAGAAATTTATGAATTACATCAGTCTTTTCAAATAACTTTTATTTTCACTAATTCACCTTACTGTTTTCTTTTTTTAAAATTTTATTTTATTCCTCATTATTTTCTTAATTTTGGCTTTCTTCTCTAGGGCTTTGAAATAGGTGATAGTTGTTCATTTTCAGTCTTTCTTTTTTTTAATATATGAATTTGCTACTGTAAAGTTCCCTCTGTAGCTTAACTGTATTTCAAAAGTTTCAATATTTTTTTCATTATCATCCAGTTCAACACATTTTAAAAGTATACTTTTAACTTTCAAAATAGCATGCGTATCTCTAATTTAATTACATTTTAATCAGAAGTCACACTCATTGAAATTTTTTGGAATTTGGTTTGTGGTCAATTTGGATTTGTGTGTCCTTGAAATACACATATTCCATTATTATATGTATAATAATTTATATATAAATTTTTGTTTTGTATATAAATATTTATATATTATTGTATATTTATATCATTAAATATATTTAATAGAATATATGATATATTACATATATCATTGTTTAAGACTTCTTTATTCTTACTGAGCTTGTTTTCTCCTTTGGATGGTCAAGAGAGATAAGATAACATCTATCACTCACTGGAGAGTGGACTTACTCATTTCTCTCTGTAGTTTTGTCAGTTTTTGCTTTATACATATTTGATGCCATGAAATTGAGTATATACAAATTTTAAATTGTTCAATCTTTCTGGTAAATTGAACCTTTTCTTACTATGAGGTAATATTTTTTTACCTATCATGCTTTTTTGTAAATTATACTTTTAGATATTATTTACATTGTATCTTTATTCATCCTTTTATTTTCATCCTTTCTGTATCTTCTCTTTCTTGCCCTTTCCCCTCTGTAATTTTGGAAGTAATGCATTCTATTACTCTTCTATTAGGGGTACCCTAGGAATCACACCATTACGCATCAACTCATCAAAGTCTAAATATTATTTAGCCAATAATTCATGGTGTTATTCCTAGAGTAACCACTAAGTGAATTAGTGTATGCTACTTCCAAACTAATAAATGGAAAAAATGAAATAATTTAAAATATAAAACCCAAAATAATAAGAGAAAGGTGGACAGGAAATGATTCAGGACAAGCAATACATACAGAAAAAGAACATAGCAAGATTGTAGATTTATACCCCCAAATATATCTACAGCTGAATTATGCTAATGATACAGAAGAAGGAAAAGAACTCATTTTTTAGAAAAGCATATGATTCTTATAATAATACAGGAATGACCATCCATTATCCACCTTAGAGGAGAATGGGGTAGTATTGATAACCTCCAGTGGCCAACAGAGAATCCTAAACCCTTGACCTGGAGGCTCAGAGCCTCATATCTTGGCTAGTATCAACTCATCAAACCCTTTTATAAACCAACTACATATCGTTTTGTACACATTTCATGAGCATTAATAATTTCAGCACCTTGGGTAATGCTTTTTTTCTGTCTTAAAATATGCTCTTCCTTCCTTCCATTTGCTTAACTCCTATACATTCTTTAAACCTTCAGAACTCATCCCTACTTTGATTCCTGACTAGTTGGTTACCTGTTTCCTGAAGTCCTAGACCTCTATGATCATATACTCTTTCAATCCTTGTAGCAGTTATTGTCTCTCCCACTCATTGTCTAGGCTTTTATTAGCTAGACTATTGTTAGTCATTTTTATCTTATTGGTTGTTTTCCTGAATACTTAACTGGATTCCAATACTTTTTTATATACCCTACACCTAACATAATGCTCAAATCTAACATAATACTGAGCCCTCAATATAGTCTTGAGATGTTGCTGCAGCCATATTGAAGACACTGATGTGAGTATCAATGATGATGGCAAGGACAGTAATGATCTCCACAAAGATCACAATAACTACCAAGCACCAGAGAACAGGAAACCAGATCTAGACATTCTAGGAAAAATATGAATTATTATTCTTATTGTTAATTGAGCTACATAAACATAGTTTAAAAATCTTATGAATCCCATTAAAATTACCTGGGGAAAATAATCTTTTAAACTATTGCATTATTAAAAGGAGAGTATCATACAACAGAAAGAGCACTGACTACCCCTCTTGATTAAGCTGTGTGATTTTAGGAAAATCGCTTAACCTCTCTGAGTTTTTAATTCTTTATCTGTAACATGGGAGACACACAACCTATTTTTCCTTTCTTGAATGATTGAAAAAATCCAATGAAATAATGTACATGAAAGTGTTTTAGAAATTGTAAACATAATCATTATGTTAAGAAATTTATTCAAAATTATACTATTCTCCTTGTGGACTTTTAAAAAACACAGAGAAACAGAGAAGAAATTATTGTTTAGAAATTAATATTACTAATAATTGTATTTTAATCCTATTTTCATGTTTCTGATAGACTTTATGACACTGATATCACATGACCTTAAGAGAACTTTGAATTCCAAATGAGATTGATGTGATTCAGCGTATTGTTGCAGAGAAAGCACACCAGCTGAGATTAGTGCAGCTGAAATTAGAGCACTTTAACACGGGTGCTTTTCTACACAACAGTTTTACAAAGAGCTATACATTTAGTATGCCATGTTAATTTTTAGTAAAACTGTCTTTTAATTATCAGGTGTGCAATGATTTCAAAGGAACAAGTCATATTTAGCACCCACAGTATCAAAGCATTATTCCTAAAGTTTTTTGAGCCTTACAGGTTAGACTGCTGGATATGTTTGAATTATGTTAAATCTTGAGAGAGACCCAGAGGTCTTTGAAGAAGTGGACCAGAAAATGCAGGTGATGATAATTATCATCATCATCATCATCATCATCATCACCACCACCAGAACCAGCTTGTTTACAAAGGAGAAAAATCCAATCTAAAGAAAATTGCTAACTTCCATGATTTGCAAGAACAGATTCAAAAACAAATTGCTTGCAATTGTGGGGTGGGGGGTGTTAACAAGTCTGCTTTCAGTTTTACCAAGAACTTGAAAGTACAGTATATATCATGAAATCCATTTTTATCAAAGCTTTTTTTTTGTTTAAAAAGCTTGTTTTCTGAAACCTTTCTATATCCCTCCAAGGTTCTGCTAATATTTGAGTTGTGGGTATATTTTGTGGAGTATGATGATTTTAAAAGAAATCCCACCAATTAATAAACTTTTCCTAGGCATCCCCTATGAGCATAGCAGGTGCTAAAAGCTATGGAGAATACCAAGAATTTGGACTGGTTCATCTCTTGAGAATGATAAAACCCATTTAGAGGGTGATTAACACTCAGGACAGGTGGGGAACAGTTACATGCTGAGCCCTGGGGTGTGAATTATGGTGGGAAAATGAAGACAGCAGGAACTGGCTGGTCTCTCTCTCCCAAAAGACTGAACTTCTTTGAGGATGGAGATTGTGCCTTATCCATCCTTTCATTCACCTCCAGCCAACTTCCTCTTTCTCTTCCTGGGCCCCAACCCAATTCTCCCCAGAAATAATGTCAGCCTTGGACACAGTAAGCACTTTAATAAATAAACTCTCAAGACCCCCATTTCTTCATCAGCTTTATGGAGATTTTAAAGTTTCCAAATATCTATTGCTCCTGCCTCCGTGTTATTTATAGGTTTTCTTTCTTCCTTTTGGGAGTATTTTCCCAGCTCTCATTTCTTAGAGCTATACCCATAAAGGTCCTTTACCTCTTCAGGAGTAGTTGGACTTATTTCAAAAGGTTCCATCTTTCCAACTGCTGGCAGGCCCCCAGCTGCACAAGCCCCAAGACAAGGTTACTGTTGCCTGAAGCACAGAACCTCAGAGGATCCCAGGAGCACCTGCCCCTCCCCATTCCCCAGCTATTATGGAGAGGGGGGTGTCATACAACTAATCTCCCAAGCCAGGGCACTTGTGAGTGAAAAGAGGGCTTACTGAGATGGGCAGAACCTGACAACAGGAAGTTAAGAACTGATGATGAGGTTAGGCTGTGGGAGGTCACCTCATGAACACTGCACTTAGCTGGGATGATGTCTAATGGGGGAGTAGAGAGGAAGCCAAGGATTCAGGTCTCCACGATCCCAATTAATACAGGGCATATGTATTCCCAAAACTTGGTTGAGGACCATGAAAAATTCTTACCCATTTTATGTATAAAGCATAGATACTTATAAAATACATAGGCACACTTCTGCAGTATTCATTTTTCACGGAGTGGGATGTGATTAATAGAAACTATCTTAAAAACTCTATATGGGTTCAATAAAGAAAAAAAGATTCAGAGACATCCATATAGGGGAATGCCCAGGATTGAAGGCCAATAGATAACAAGAACATGGAAGAACAACCGCAGGTATTAAATCCATAGAGTCGAGATTTAAAAGAAAGGAATTTTTGCAAAACCACGGAATCATCACAGTCCGGGGGGCACAACGTGGACATACAAGGATGCATTGCAGGCAGGGCTTGAGAAAGTGAACAGCCTTTGCACAGATGGCTGCAGGGAAGCCTCATTTCAGGACACGGCCAGGTTTTTCTACTTAAGCCAAATACTGAAGTGTGTGTTCTGTAGAGATTAAGGACGGGGCATGGCTGATTGCAGTAGGAGGAGGCTTAGATGGACTTGGGTGTTGTCTGAATCCAAATGGTTATCATATTTCATAAGTGTTGCATTAACTGCAATATTGCTCTAACACAATCAGGTGGCTGCTGAAATTCATCAGAGGCTCATGGAAGAAGAAAAATACCAGCCAGCAGACTCAAAAGAAAAATCTCTTCAGATGGGTGTAAATAAAAAAGTCAAAAAGGAACTACCCAAGAAAAATAAGGAGGAAAAGAAAGCAAAAGGTATTAATGGTTTTAGCATCCAGAACTGTGGATGCTTAAATCTCTCTGGTAGAAAATAAGCATTTAATCAAATACACTAGCCTCTGAGCCACTAGAATATTATTCATTAGGCATGGCTTAGAAACTTGGGCTTCTGTGAGCTGTGATGTTAGTTGGCAAATCATATTGTATAGCAGTCCTAACTAACCTGATTATCCAAACAGCCAAGTGTATGCAGGATAAAATAAAACTCAAAGACAGTTAGGAACATGTTAAAAGAACCCCAAGATGAAACTATGTAATCTGAAAAGTGTGTGTGAAGGGGCTGACACTAGCTGCAGTAACCAGGAGAAAGTGAGGTTAAAAGTCAATTCCATGTATGTAAGTTTCAGGTTTAATTCAAGCAAGTTCTCTGCTGGAAGTCTCCTGCCTCCATCTCTGCCTCTGAGGCACTATGAAAAATAAAGAGGAAAGAAAATTCAGGTTGGGAGAGATCTCCTCCAATTAACCTTAAGGATAAGCTCTGGCACAAACATTACCCACCCCACCCCCAGTGTTTCCACTTACACATTTTTGAAGTGACTTGAAACAAGAGAGGAAGAGATGGAGCACATAAACAGAACTCACTCTACTAATCAGTCGTTCTTGACAAGTTTATTAAGCACCCACCAAACACCTTGTGATAGGCGCTAATGACACAAGGGGAAACTTAAAAACAAAAGTGTGGCCCCTGCCCTAATAGATTACTGTCACTGTCCTTTGGTAGGGGAGGTACAAGTCCCTTGAAAGCAAGGCTACCACACTCATCTGAGGGGAATAGGGAAATGCTCCCCAGCGGTCACTCCTGAGTGGAGTTAAGACAAAGCCCAGAAGATGGAAGGGATGGGTGGGTGGGGGGGGCACTGGATGCAAACAGGTTGAGTAGCACCATGATAAAGAACACACCCTGTTACTCCATCTCAGATGGTAAACATGGAAAAAATAAACAGCATTGGAAGAAAATGCTTCACTTTAATGGAATAATTTGTTGAGTCCAATCTCTTTATAGACGATAAAACAGAAATCCAGAGACCTTAAGCTCTTTCATCTGTAATTTATATATACATCCACTACTGCAGTTAACACATCTTATTACAATTTCTTTGTTTACTTTTGTACCTTCTCCAAAAGATTTAAACCACTTGAGATCTTACCCTGAGGTCAGATTTACTGAACTAAGTAGAAGTATGAAACTGGGCCAGCAACTAGAATCACACTGCCATTTCTCATGAGTAAATTCTCAAATACTGACAAGTTCTTATTTTTTAATTTTCTTACCTAATCATGCAGTACTTGTAGTTAAGCACTGGTTAAAAGATAATTAAGTAGATGACAGATTCTTGACCATCGGCTACATTTCAGCTACTTGTCTTAAGGTTATTCCCTCGTTTTTTCTTGATGAGGACCCAGGAAACACTTGGCTAATCCAAGTACCTCTTATGGAGTGGTACTTTTGCAGGTAGCAGATAGGAGGCTGGAGTTCTCTGGTTTCTGTCCCCGAACTCTCAATTGCACCCTTTTTGGAGTCTGTCACCCTGTCTGCACTGGCTGCACACCTCATTTTCCTGGGATGCTACACCCATTTGTGGGATAGATGCATATAAACATACCACATGCAGAATTCTCAAAGAAAAACTATCACTGTTAAATCATTCATGCTGTTAGGACCAGGGTTTCTCCTTTCAAACCCCCAGAGGCTTATCACTGTACACATTTTACTTTGTACTCATTTTGTCCAAGTCCCACGTGAGCACACTTGTATATCAGCATTTTATTCAGTGTCTTGCCAATGGGTTTCAGCCCCCAGCAAGTTAGCTATGGATTCAGCATGACCAAAGAAATGGTAGAATGTTTCTTTAGGGTGAAAGGGTTTATTACCCAGCCTGTTCTCCCATTGTAGGTTGAGCACTAGCATGTCTGCCTCCACAGCCGTCTCAGTCTCTGTCCTTAGTGCTGCCACCACTCCAGTCTCATTTCTACACTCCTGCAGCACTGCAGCCATGCCACAGTGTCACCCAGAGCACTGGGAAGAGCTCTTTATATAGAGTCAATAACAACGTATTGCCCACACATGTGTAGTGAGTTAGTCAACCAGGGCCAGGTGAGAATCCTGGCCACAAGAACTTTCATTTTATCCAAAGTCCACCCCTCCAGGATTCTCTCCTTTCAATCTATGTACCCTCAGTCCTCTGCAATGGTCTCTGTGCAAGAAATCGAAACACTGTAATCAAACTCCACAACAACATAATACAATATACAAATAACAAATTATAAGTTATAATAACCCTCAAACCTGAGGAGATCCATTGCCACTAAGTGGTCATCCTGGCTGTATTCAAACCAGTTCTACTCAAATGAATTAACCAAAAGAACCATGGGTGGGCCTTATAATACCCTCTTTCTCCAGTCTCTCCAGCAAAAAGTCTTACAGGCACACAGGCCAGACTTCTGGCTCTGTCTCTGATCTCTGCCTCTTTGGTCTTAATGGCTGGAACTGTTGCTCTAGTTTCAGTTGTTGCCATAGCTCTAGTAAGATCCTATTTGCTTCCCATCTAATTTCCTTCCATCTGCTCCTGCTCATGTTGAATCAACTCACATCTGGGTCATCATAACCTTCATGGGGCCCTTTAAATTCTTCTTGTGAGTACAGACCTTATTTCTTTCCATGTTCTCATTGCTTCAGCCTCTCCTAAGTCTGCTACTGTACATGTCACCTCACTTATGGGCTGCCCTAAGTCAGGGGAAAGAATGGCCACTAGAGATCCAAAGAGGGATGTCAGAGCCATTTGAAGAACAATATTTCCCATCCCTGTAGTGAAAATCTCTTCATCTGGGCTATAATTCTCTGGACTATAGATGGCTGAGCATTTCTTATGGCATTTCTTATGCCTAACTCTTGTAACACCTGTTGGAGCTCAGCATACATCTGCCATATGTCTACCATCTAGCAGGAGAGGATGGTAGATCACCTGGATTGGGCCACACAGCATGAAGTGCAGCCATATGCCAATTGAGGAGGGAGTGATTCCCTGGGGTCTGATGTGCACTTTGTAATCTCTGCCTCAAGGCAGGCTGAACTGTCAGTGAAGCCAGCTTTCCTATCTCTGATCCTGACACAACAATTCTATCCACCCCTAAGTCCCGCAGATGCAGAAGCCAAGCTGATATTGACTCCGAGGACTTCTGCCTAAACCGGGAGCCCAAATCCACCAGCTCAGCCTGAGTATAGGGGCAGACCATAGAGTGCTCCATGACCTGGGGAGGGGGCTGCTCCTCTCCTTGGGGAAAGTTCAGCTTCTGGGACTTTATTTTCTTTACAACCACTGGGCATGCTTTCAATAGAGGAGGCGCCAGTGCCTCCGGCATCACCCCTTCATCCTTCCCCAGCTCCTCCATTTCTGGGACTGATGGCACCTTTCTCTCCCCTCCCCCAAGTGCCTCCTCTGCTACAACCTTTACCTTTTCTACCGTGCCTCACAGCAATGCTAGCTCAGTCTTCAGCAGCTCTCTTACCTTCAGCTCAATGCTTCGCAGCTGGCGTTCTTGTGCTGCCTCTGCCTGTGCTTCCCTCAGGAGTTGGTCTTTTTCCTTGATGGCCTTTTCCTCCTTCAGAGCACCTGGCAGTGCTGCATCTCGTTCTGTAAGGAATCTTTTACCTCTTCAACAGGACCTCATTGCCGGCATTCTCATGCTGCCTCCTCTTGCATCAATGCCATTTCCTTCTTCAGGGAATCCACAGAAGTTTGCAGTTTGCATTCTCGTGCCACCATTTCTTGGGTCTTTTTCAGGAGCATGTCCTCTTCTGTAACTTTTTTATTACTGTGAGAAGCAGCCAACCCACAGTCCCCACTGCCTCACAGTCACTCTGTCTCTCAAAAGATCTACTTACTATACCAAGGGCCACCCCTACTGCCTCAGGTATCACCTCCACTTGCCTCCAGTCCTGGGGTGGTGCCCAGCCCTCTAGGAGGCAGGCCACCTCAGACCACATACCCATTGGGGGACAATCCACTGTCTCCCCATTCATAGGGGCAGCCCACTGAAGCACCTCTCCCATAACAGCAACCTGTCTTTTTCTTTGGTCAACAATGAACCCTGCTGACTTTGCCAATTGTCTTACCAATGGGTTTCAGCCCCCAGCAAGTTCGCTATGGATTCAGTGTGACCAAAGAAATGACAGTAGAATGTTTCTTTAGGGTGAAAGGGTTTATTACCCAGCTTATTCTCCCGGCGGTAGGTCGAGCACTAGCATCTCTGCCTCCGCAGCCATCTGTCTCTGTCCTCAGTGCTGCCACCACTCTTGTCTTGCTTCCACTCTCCTGCAGCCCTGCAGCTGTGCCACAGTGTTGCCCTGGGCGGAGCTCTTTATATAAAGTCAATAGCAGCGTATTGCCCACATGTGTGTAGTGAACTAGCCAACCAGGGCTAGGTGAGAATCCTGGCCACAGGAACTTTCATTTTATCCACACTAAAGGTGTTTCATTGCCCTTCCAGGTAAATCACCACCTTTGGCAGAAGCTGCTCCTGTAATAGTACCTGCAGAGGAGATTGCCGAGATGGAAAGGAAAAATGAACTGAGGCTCAAAATAAAAGAAGAACATCTTGCTGCCCTGCAGTTTGAAGGTAGCAATTGGAAAGAATTAAGATGATACTTTTCAGTAGAAATAGATCAACTGGCAAACAGCCCACAACAGGCTCAAACTGTGTCTGCGAGAAAGAGCACAAAGCAAACCAATCAAAAAGTATAACATCCAGCTGATTGTTTTCAGGTGACCATGTGTGGACTTGATCTGACTTGCACAAGAGCTCACTGAGGTGGACAAAGGAACTCAGAGAAAGCAAGGTTGAGGTGGTTGTAGTAGTTTAGGGACAGACAACCAGTGCCCAAACTAGGCCACTGGCAATTGTAAAAGCAGAGCAGAAAAACTGGAAATCTATTTTGGAGGTAAAATACATAGACTTTATTGTGTGCTAGGGACAGCAATAGGCCCTGGGACACATAGATTTTAGTCTAGTTTTTCTGGTGCTGAGAAATACAGTGACACTGCCATTCCATGCTTCTAATGTAGGGAGATCATCAAACTGCTTTGTACCCTTTCCCTCTTTAGAAACTTGGAAACTATCTATTTGTACTTTCCCATTCCAATATATCAGAGAATATATTGCTATAAAATGCAATAAATGTAAAGCTCAATTATAGTTGTGGTTTAAATAAACTGTCAAATGATTTTTCAATGAGTTGGGTAAGGTGTTACTCATCTGTGTTGGTATATTAAATGTACATTTAAATCTTCACAAATTGAAACATAACTGGTTTAAAATTGAATTTGCTTCATAAGAAAAAGCATATACATGCATTAAAAAAATCTTTATTTTTCTTTTTAAATAGAGATATCCACACAGTTCCGACTTGAATTGATAAAGACAAAAGCATTGGCTTTCCTTGAAGATTTACTAACAAAGGCAGTTGATGTATATAAACTCATGGAAAAGTGGCTTGGTGAAAGGTATTTGAAGGAAATGGCCAGGTAAAGTATTGCATGGCTTTTCAAATATGCACTGTTAACTCCTGGAGGCCAAAATTGGCATGGATTTTTAAGGTGTTTACAAATGTAAATTACATTTACAAATCAAAATTTTGATCTTTTAGAAAATCACATATGCATTTGTATTGACTCTTTTCAAACACTAAAGCAAGTATCAGAGGGTTTTATTGCAATATCCAGTTTTGCGCAGTATTTACAAATTTGGTTTTCACACTGCTCAGTGAAGACCTTTATTTACAAGGTAAGACTTGTCAGGACCAACTAATGGGATATTAAAAAGTTATTCATGGGAAGGTTTTACCAGCCAGGCTGATTGCCTCATCAGGGTAATCCCCCCGGTCTTTTTTTTTTACTGGGTTCCAAAGGCTTTCCAGACTCTCACTGACAGTGAGCAGCAGGCAGTTTTATCCTCTTAATTCTTCCCTAAAAGGCATAAAGAGCAGCTCAGCAGAGCAGAATCACCTTCAACTGAGAGTCAGGAGTCATGATCCACTAGGAGTGGGGACTCCCTAATTGTTCACAAATTAACAGCATGCTTGATCGCTTAGGGCCATGCAGACTTCTATCTATAAAATAACTCACTCTGACAAGGCTTTTTCAGGGGTTTCCTCTAGATCTAGGTCCTGTTACACACTACAGTTTGCAGTACACATTTACTGAAAATGTAGAAGTTGCTATGTAACATGGGGTACAAATGGCAAGTATGCTCAGAAGTAACAACTGCCATCTCAAGACAGTTGTTATGGTTTCTCTCTAATTTTTATCTAATAATTCTAATAATGAAAGTTCTATTGTAAAATCTTCAGCCTAGTTGTTTGTATCTATTGCTCTATAGTAACACATACATGTATACATGTATGTACACACACATCAGCAGCCTAGTAACCTTACTATAGTAATGCTTAAATTAATTTTACTCCTGGCTAGCCAAGTCAGTTACTCAACAGCATCGTCGAGCAGTTATGTTCAGTTCTGTTCTCTGCCTGCCATGTACAAATGAAATGTTCTTCACTCTTAGGATTGACAGTTTCCATCCATGTGGCCAGCAGTGTAAATGCTTCATATTTTTATCAGACATACTCTTTTTTCTCAGATTTGTATTGTGCATGCATGCATCTCTGACCTCTGAATGTGGCCACAAAAAGCTAAAACCTAAGACTGTTCAGTTATGCTGTTTTGGTAGTTGCAAAAATTCTCAAAAAAGCAATCTATCCAATTCCTTTGAACTTCAAATCCTGCTTTTCTTTTACCTGATAGTTTTGATCCCTCCCATTCTTATAATAAGGTTACTCTTGGTAGCCTTCCACTAGATGGCACATATCTATTTTGATACCTTGGCTTTGGCTGGGTCTCAGACTACATTTAGAGTCCCTCCTCACACATGGTGGTGAGCTCCACAGCTCTTCATTGCCCTTCTTCTCTGACCCCCAGCACACAGACACCATCAAACATAAACTAATTAAATAATACATACTATGTGGACACAAATACAGCATGTTGGACTTGCATTCAAGAGTGTCTTTTGAAAGACAGCAACTGATATATTTTTTAAATTATTTAGTATATGAATATTTTGGTGTTCCTGAGTTATATAAGAGCAGATTAAATATGCATTATCTTCCATGTTGAGTCTTTATTGCAAGATATAAACAAGATTCTTTCTGTAATACAATAATATTGTACTTGTTCATGTGTAAAGCTTCTCTGGCCTTTGAAATGGCCTTTCATTAGGGCCATAACTTTAATTCCAGTGCAGCTTAAATCCATGCCCTGTGTGATTTCACAATAACAACTATAAGGTATGGAGTTATATGTCATTGGCTACATTGCAAAGATAAAGAAATTTAGAGGGCTTAAGTAACTAACTTCCCAAGGCTCCATGGCTAGAGAGTGTCCTGGAATGAGAGCTCAGCTTCCAGTGCTCTTTCCATGGCACCACAGTGGTTCCAGTGATGCTCATCCCGCATGATATGCATGATTTAGCTAGGAATTCTTGTTCTGTGTGCAGATAGCAGGGCAATTTAATGGGTTATGTCTTCAGTCCACTCTGACAGCTGTGTCTCAGATAGCATCAAACTCCTTAATATAAAGTTAGAGAATAGCTAGTGGTATTTTTCCTAGTGGAATAAATAGAATGCATTATCAAATTTTTTTCAATTTATAATTTACCCTGATTCCAAATGTGTTATTCTAACAGTCATATTTTAAAGGTTTTTCTGCCATATAACCTTATTCAAGTTCATATTTAGAAGAAATATGTCTCGACATAATCTTGCTTATGCAATAAAATATGTTCTAATATTAATAGAAGTACTTAATGGACTCTTTATGCTCAACTTTGTATAAAATGTTTGACTCTGCTCTGTAAGGAGTATTTGTTTTGTTTCTAATATACATTTACTTATTTATATACTGCCTTTTCACAAAATAGATTTAGGAGAAATTGTAATTTTTAAATAATGCATATTGAATTGCCCAATTTCACTGTACAACGTGTTAATTCTGTGAATATGTATGTCTAATAAGCAAGCACTGTTAATCTATCTAATAGTATCTTTAACTAACCTGTTAGTAAAACAGATAACTATGTTCAATTTTCCACTTCCAGTGTGGAAAAATTAACTGAAGTAGCTCGCTATCATATTGAAACATCTACAAAAATTCAGAATGAACTTTATTTAGACCAAGAAGACTTCTTCATTAATGGTGATATAAAAGTCTTTCCAGATCCTCCTCCTCCAATACGTCCTCCACCTGTAGAAAAGGAAGAAAATGGCACACTGACCATCAAACAGCTGGACAATCTTCGAAATCAGTTCTTAGATACAGCACCGAAAGGTAGGAAGAATAATTACCATGAAAAGAGCACAAAAAAGTTAAAATTAACCAGGATAGCAATTGCCAGCCCACAAGCCCGCTGGGATTGTGTGGCACAAAAACAAGTCCTTGCTTTCTTCTAGTTTATCACATATTTGCTTCATGCAACGTAGGTCTGAGTTAAACAGGAGATAAACAGTGACGACTACTTTAGCAGCGTGGTGATCCTCATTCCTGGTGTGCTCCTCTCCTGCCCTCCCTTGATCCAGTTGGCAATTTGGTATTTTAGAAAATTGGTACAAATCTTGCCTCCATCCAGCAATTGAAGCACAGCCATTGGTGCCTACATCTAGTCTTTTATTGGGATTATGAGCTTGTGTTTTTTCTCCCCCACTAGTCTGTGAAGGGTGAGCAGGGAGTAAAGAATTTCCCTTTCAGATTTGCCTTTTCCCTAAAATCTTCATGGAACAAGAGCAGAAACAAGCTGTTAACAAATATTTGTGTAAGTGATTAATTCATTTGTTCACATATATGTGTACATGTTATTCTTTGCACACAAATTCTTTATTTCCTTCACATTTTTCATGGTGGCTTTATAGAATCTGCACAAGCATTTTAAAATTCAGGGTCTTCCTACTTCCAGATATTTTTCAATGAATTCTATCAATTGAGAGCACAAGTACTTCCACTTTCATAATAGTGATATTGCATGTATTTTTTTAAGTAAAGTATTTCCAGAAACCCACATCAAATCTCAATAGTCAAAAGAAAATTACTTTAAATCTGAACACTTTCTTGCTAAGCCCAGTGGGTGAAACAGGTATAAACATGTGTCCCTGCGTGAACCACTACCCTGACACATGAGTTCATCCAATCAGCTTGAGTGGGTTTACACCTCCAAGCTATAAAGGCACACACTATAACTATGGATGGACCCCGATGCAGGTTGGCAGCATCTGGGAAGGAAAGAAATGTGGCCATCAGCACATACAAAAACAAATTCTCAGTTTTATAAAGCCAGCCCATAAAATCTTTTCAATCCTTTAGTCAGGTAGCTTCCATTCTCTTCCCCATTGTGTGGGCTTCACAGTGCCCTTTTATTTTGCACGTGCTTCATTTTATCCACACTATTTTTTACATATAAAATAAGAAGATACATGTATAACAATTCTAAATATTAAATAGGATTTTCTTTAATCCTACTTGGGTAATAGGAAGAAAATCATCCAATTAGCAGGTCAAAACTAAAGTGTTTGAGGGCATTTGAGTAGATAGAAGTAGATTTGGAAAACGGTTGACCATTCATAATCCCCTTCAGGAGGGACCTTAACATTCATGAGGATAACCATGATACAGTCTTGGATCCAATCTCAAAGCGAGTTTGCATTTCAACTAAAAGTTTGAAAATAAATAACAAATAGCAGCTATTACTTGATACGTATAGGTCTTAGATTAATTCTAGAAACCCTTGGAACTAAAAGAGAGCAACTGATGTATTTATCTATTTTCAGAATATGGCAGAATACAACACCTTTTAAGGTATGACAGAAAGAAGGAGGGAGAATTTAAAAAGGGAGGATGGGAGAGAGAGAGAAGGAGGGAGACAGTTTATATATATATATATATATATATTTTTTTTAAATAATGTATCATTGATATGCAGTCTTATGAAGGTTTCACAGGATCAACACTGTGCTTACTACATTCACCCATATTATCAAGTGCCCCCCATACACCCCATTGCAGTCACTGTCCATTGGCATAGTAAGATGCTATAGAGTCATTACTTGTCTTCTCTGTGCAATACTGTCTTTACCATAACCTACCTACATTGTGTGTGCTACCCATAATGCCCCTTAATTCCCTTCCCCCTCTCTTCCCACCCACCCTCTCCAACCCCTTTCCTTTGGTAACTGCTAGTGCCTTCTTGGAATCTGTGAGTCTTCTGCAGTTTTGTTCCCTCAGTGTTGCTTGGTTATTATACTCCATAAATGAGTGAAATCATTTGGTACTTATCTTTCTCCACCTGGCTTTTTTCACTGAGCATAATACCCTCTATCTCCATCCATGTTATTGCAAATAGGAGGATTTGTTTCTTTTTATGGCTGAATAATATTCCATTGTGTATATGTACCACCTCTTCTTTATCCATTCATCTACTGATGGACACTTAGGTTGCTTCCATATCTTGGCTATTGTAAATAGTGCTCCTGTAAACATAAAGGAGCATATGCCTTTTTGAAACTGGGATCTTGTTTTTTTTGGGTAAATTCCTAGGAGTGGAATTCCTAGGTCAAATGGTATTCCTATTTCTAGTTTTTTGAGAAACCTCCATATTGCTTTACCCAATGGTTGAACTAATTTACATTTGCACCAACAGTATAGAAGGGTTCCCCTTTCTCCACATCCTTTCCAGCATTTTTTGTTCCTTGTCTTTTGGATGTTGGCCATCCTAACTGGTGTGAAGTGATATCTTATTGTGCTTTTAATCTGCATTTCCCTGATAATTAGTGATGTGGAGCATCTTTTCATGTGCCTGTTGGCCATCTGTATTTCTTCTTTGGAGAATTGTCTGTTCATATCCTCTGCCCATTTTTTTAATTAGATTTGGACTGAATTCTTTAGGGTTTTTTATGTACAATGTCATGTCATCTGCAAACAGTGGCAGTTTAACTTCTTCCTTACCAATCTGGATGCCTTTTATTTCTTTGTGTTGTCTGATTGCCGTGGCTAGGACATCCAGTACTATGTTGCGTAAAAGTGAGGAGAGTGGGCATCCTTGTCTTCTTCCCAATCTTAGAGGAAAAGCTTTCAGCTTTTTACTGTTAAGTATGATGTTGGCTGTGGGTTTGTCATATATGGCCTTTATTATGTTGAGGTACTTGCCCTCTATACCCATTTTCTTGAGAGTTTTTATCATGAATGGATGTTGAATTTTATTGAATGCTTTTTCAGCATCTATGGAGATGATCATGTGGTTTTTGTCCTTTTTGTTGATGTGGGGTGCTAATGGATTTTTGAATATTGGACCATACTTGCATCCCTGCAATAAATTCCTCTTGATCATGATAGATGATCTTTTTGATGTATTTTTGAATTCAGTTTGCTAATATTTTGTCAAGTATTTTTGCATCCATATTCATCAGGGATATTTGTCTATAATTTTCTTTTTTTGTGGTATCTTTGCCTGGTTTTGGTATTAGTGTGATGCTGGCCTCATAGAATGAGTTTGGAGGTATTCCCTCCCCTTATACTTTTTAGAAAACTTTAAGGAGGATGTGTATTACGTCTTCTCTAAATGTTTGATAAAATTCAGCAGTGAAGCCATCTGGACAAGGTGTTTTGTTCTTAGTTAGTTTTTTGATTACCAGTTAGATTTCATTAATGGCAATTGGTCTGTTCAGATTTTTTGTTTCTTCCTAGGTCCATCTTGGAAGGTTGTATTTTTCTAGAAAGTTGTCCATTTCTTCTAGATTACCCAATTTGTTAGCATATAATTTTTCATAGTATTCTCTAATAATTCTTCATGTTTCTGTGGTGTCTGTACTGATTTTCCCTTTCTCATTTCTGATTCTGTTTATGTGTGTACACTCTCTTTCTTAATAAGTCTGGCAAGGGGTTCATCTATTTTATTTATTTCTCAAAAACCAGCTCCTGGTTTCATTAATTCTCTATTATTTTATTCTTCTCAATTTTATTTATTTCTCTTTTGATCTTTATTATTTCCTTCCTTCTACTGACTTTGGACCTCGTTTGTTGTCCTTTTTCTAGTTTCATTAATTGTGAGTTTAGACAATTCATTTGGGATTTTTTCTTTCTTGAGGTAAGCCTATATTGCAATATACTTTCCTCTTAGAACTGCCTTTGCTGCATCCCACAGATTTTGGTGTTGACTTGTTTTCATTTGTCTCCATGTATTGCTTAGAGTAAATATCTGTGGCATTTGATATCTCATTTTATTTGGTCATGGATCCATTTTTTATTTAGGAGCATATTGTTAAGCCTCCATGTGTTTGTGGGCTGTTTTGTTTTCTTTACATAATTTATTTCTAGTTTCATACCATTGTGCTCTAAGAAGCTGGTTGGTACAATTTCAGTCCTGAATTTACTGAGGCTTTTTTTGTGGCCTAGTATGTGATCTATTTTGGAAAATGTTCCATGTGCACTTTAGAAGAATCTGTATACTGTCACTTTTGGATGAAGTGTTCTGTAGATGTCTGTCAGGTCCATCTGTTCTAATGTGTTGTTCAGTGCCTCTGTGTCCTTACTTATTTTCTGTCTGGTTGATCTGTCCTTTGAAGTGAGCAGTGTGTTGAAGTCTCCTAAAATGAATGCATTGCATTCTATTTTCCCCTTGAATTCTGTTAGTATTTGTTTCACATATGTAGGTGCTCCTGTGTTGGGTGCATAGATATTTATAACAGTTATATCCTCTTGTTGGACTGACCCTTTCATCATTATGTAATGTCTTTTGTCTGTTGTTACTTTCTTTGTTATGAAGTCCATTTTGTCTGATACAAGTAGTACAACTCCTGCTTTTTTCTCCCTATTAGTTGCATGAAATATCTTTTTCCATCCCTTCACTTTTAGTCTGTGTATGTCTTTGGGTTTGAAGTCTCTTGTAGGCAGCATATAGACAGGTCTCGTTTTTTTATCCATTCACTGAATCTGTCTTTTCATTGGTGCATTCAGACCATTTACATTTAGGGTGATTATCGATACATATGTACTTATTGCCATTGCAGGCTTTAGATTCATGGTTACCAAAGGTTCAAAGGCAACTTCCTTACTATCTCAAAGTCTAATTTATCTCACTTAGTATGCTATTATAACACAATCAAAAGGTTCTTAACCCCCCTTCTTCTTCCTCCTCTATTCTTTATATATTAGGTATCATATTCTGTACTCTTTGTCTATCCCTTGTCTGACTTGGGAGATATTTGATTTGATTTTGAATTTGCTTAGTGCTTAATTGGTCTACTTCATTTGCTGTGGTTTTATTTTCTCTGGTGACAGCTATT